TTGGAGAGGGTGCTGGCAGGGGAGCCCACCTCGAAGCGTGCCTGGGGCGCCGATGCCGTGGTGTTGGGAGATGACATGCCCGAGTCGGGCTGCCGGCACTCCCCATCCACTGAGGGGTCTCGCGACAGCACGCGGTGCTCCACGCTCTGCTGGCACAGCCACGCGGTCAGGCGGCCGGGCAGGAGTGGCGGAGCCCCGCGTGCTCCCCACGTGCTCGGCCACAGGACACCACCGTACCATGTTCTCCACAGTGCGCAGGTACTGGGCGCAGTGGTCGTGGCCGTTGTAGTCAGCGAGGTCAGCCGCCGTGTAGCCGTCCTGGTCACGGATGCTGAGGTCGGCACCGTTCACCACCAGGATCTGGCAGCACTGGGGAGAGGGGGAACATGTGGCAGGGCCGGAGGGTGGCCCCCCCTCCACCCCGGCACCCCACCAGCTGCCGGCACCCACCTCCAGCTCGCCGTTCTCAGCGGCGTCGTGCAGTGGCGTGCCGCCCCAGCTGTCGGTGGTGATCTCCCCGCCGTGCAGCAGTAGCCAGCTCAGCACCTTGGCGTGGCCACGGCTGGCAGCAAAATGCATGGCTGTGGCCCCCTCGGCATCCCGCTCTGACAGGCTCACCGTCGTGAAGCTCATCTGCGCAGGCAGGTGGACTGAGTGCTGGCGCTGCCAGCCCCACGCCGTGCCGCCACGCTGTGCCACCACACTGCCACACCGCGCCCAGCCAGCGCTTACCAGCCAGACGATGACAGTGTTGTGGCCCATCTGGGCAGCGGCGTGCAGCGGGGTCATGCCGTCATGGGCACGCGTGTGGGGGTCGGCCCCGCAGTCCTGCACCAGGTACTGGATGATCTCCAGGTGGCCCTCCTGGCAGGCGAGGTACAGCGGGGTGGCCCCCGTCTTGGTCTGGGCACTCAGCGTGCTGCAAACGGGGCACAGCGCCCGTCACCCATGGCCGCTGCCGCTGGCAGCGCACCAGGATGGGTGGGCACAGGGGACACGTGGGTTGCAGGGACATGGGGACATGTGGGGGCACAGGGGACACACACGGCACAGGGGACACGCTGGCCGGGGGCGGGCAGGGCAGCGCCAGGGCCAGGCAGCATGAGCAGTGTGGGCAGCGAGGGCTGGGAGCCGTCCACCCCACGGCTCCCTGCTGGGTCCCCGCGCAGTGGCAGCCGCTGCAGCGGGCGGTCACTAAGTTAATCAGCCTGCTTAGGCTAAGCTCCTTCCTCCGGCTGTTTTTGGATACTGCAATTTAGCAGTATTTTTAAATAAGCGGCTTAGGCAGCACTGGCCACGGGGGAGCCAGCAGGTAAAGGCTGACCTGCACCATGGCGCTGCCTGACCCCGCTGCTCCCCACCAGACCCATTGCCAGGCACAGGCATGCCCCCGCCGCCCCAGCGGGCCTTGGCATCACCATGTCCCGCATTGTGCATCCCGAATTGCACAGTCCACAGCCTGCATCCCAAATCCCATATCCCTGCATCCTACATCCCATAGCCCCGTATTCTGCATCCCGCATCCCTGCATCCTGCATCCCCGCCACGCAGGAAGCTGTTTTATTAAGTGCTCCATAAAAAAACCCTGTTGAATATTTAAAAAAGGAAGAGCAATAAATACTCTGCTCTGTTATCGCAACGATCGTGGGGCCTTAATAATTGATCCCTGTAACCGTGAGACGGGCCGCAGCCAGCGCTGCCTTCCCGCCATCCCGTGCCACAGGGTGCCTGCCCCACAGTGCCACAGCGCCAGGCCGGCACGGCGCCCCGAGCAGGGACTGGGGCCGGGGTGGCGGCAGGCTGGGCTGGGGCGTGGGGGGACGGCGGGGACACGGGCATGTGTTTAGCCCCTGTTTGCCATTTCCCACTAATCAGGAAGGGGTTAAGCCACTTGGGCAAGTGCCGGTAAACTGCTTTGCCAGATGGCTGCGACCCCACACCAGGCCACTGGCTGCCGGGGACCCCACGAGGCTAGGGTGAAGGTGGGCCGGGAGCACCAGCGTCCCGTGGCGGTGCACGGGGATTGGATTTCGTGGCTGTAATGGAGCCTCCGGACGGGCGCGGGGCTGGGAGCGGGACGAGCCCTAAATAATTCAGGGGGAAGGTGGCGACGGCAGCGGAGCAACCCCGGCAAGAAGTGTGGAAGCGAACACGGGAGGGCTGCTGCCAGCGCTGCGCCACACCGGGCCCGACACCGTGGGCACCAAGCGAGAGCTGTGGCTGGGCTGGGGCCGGGCTGTGGGTTGCAGGGTGTTAATCCCCACAGGTGCCCAGGGCTGAGCCGACACACCTGGGGATAAAGGGCAGGGCTGGGGAGGCTGCTGGCAGACGCTGAGCAGGGGAGGGTGGTGAGTGCCACAGGGGTACAGGGACCCACACAGTGGGCCCTGCGGCCCTGCCTGGTGAGAAGGCTGGGGGGGTCTGGGGTTGTGGCACCCAGGGACAGAGAGTTGCTGAGCCCTGGTTAACCTCCTGCTGCCTCGGGACCCCCTTGGATGCGGGGGAGCTGTGCACCCCCTCGCATCCGCAGCCCTTGAGCCTGCCGGGCATGGTGTCGGGCAACAGCACATCCCCCCGGGCTCCACCTCGGCTGGGGCCATGGGTTATTTCTAGCGGCCTCTGCCCACCACGGGAAATCAGATTAGGGGCCACCTAATCGCTTGCCGCAGCCCCGCAGCGAGGCTTGGCACCACGTGCCTGGTGGGCTGCCGTGCCGTGTACCCTGGGGGACCAGCCTGGCCCTGGGTACTGCTCAGGAGGCGAAGCAGCGACGCTGCCGCGGTGGTGCCGGCCGAGCAGGGCTGCCGCGTCCAGCGATGCCCGCAGCCCTGGGCGGGCAGAAAGGTCGCCTCTGGCGTGGGGAGAGGCCTCTCCTCGGCAGGCAGCCTAATCCATTTACATAACAGCGGGCAGACAAAGGCGGCTGTGTTATCGCCCCACGCCAGGAGCCCAGGGAACCGACCCGGCAGCCAGCGACAATATTTCTGCCAGCGTTGCTGCTCTCCTCCTCGCCCTTTCTCTCCAGGCCATAAAGAAGGTGGGCTGGCTGCCCGGCCTGATAACGCAGCCATGTTGCCCTTGGAGCTGGGGGATGAGGGTGGCTGTGGCATCCGTCCCCAGCACTGGCACTTTGCCCAGCGGCTGGAGAGAGGGATGGGGCAGCAGCGGGCACCCCACTCCTCCGCCAGCCCCTCTCTTGCCGGTGGGCCAGTGAGCCCCCAGCGTCGAGCCCATCTCGCCCACTGGCAGCAGGGGCCATTACCTGGGGCAGTGTCCCAAGAGGAGTCGCAGGGAAGGGAAATCCCCTTTGGCCGCGGCATAGTGGACGGGCAGTGCTCCCGTGTCAGTGGCCGCTGTGGGGTCGCTGCCCCCGAAGCGGAGGAGCCAGTCAATCACCTCGTGGTGACCGAAGCGGGCTGCCAGGTGTAGGATGGTGGCACCGGAGTTGTCTGTGTCCTGCGGAAGGAAGTGGGGCGGCCGTCGGCACTGGGGAGCGTGCGTGGGACTGGGGACCATGGGCAGCCGCAGCGCATCCTCCAGCCAGGAGCCGGCCCTGGAGAGGGTGGGCTGGCCAGGGTGGAGGTCCCATCTGCATGGAGCAGGGCCGGAGGGAGGGGACAGCCCATTGGAGGGGCCATGGGACAAGCGTGTCTGCCCTCTGGCAGGGCCTGCATCCACATGCAGCAAGCGCTGCACAAAGCCCCCCCCCCCCCCCCCCCCCCCC